AGTACCTTTGCAAGTCCGTCCGTCTCCAGAATAACCAGGTTTACATCCACATTTGTACGATCCCTTCACGTTGCTACACACGCCATCAGCACTGCAGCTGTGCTCTCGTGTGGCACATTCGTCAATATCTGAAAGTAAATTAATTTGATGTTTCATAGTTTAAACTGTTATCAATCCGAACATTGTGTTTCAATGAAGATCGGCTTACACTTAAGATCTTAAAGAGGAGAAAATGCGTATTCTGAAAATAATTCACGTTTACCTTCGTCGCAAGTCAAACCTTTGTATCCAACTGGACACATACACCGGTAACCTTTATCAGTAAAACCGCTTTGACATTTGGCGTTGTTCTTGCAAGGATTTGTGATACAAGCACTCTGCCGTGAAGAAAGCGATGAAAATGATGAAAAAAAACTATTCGTATAACTGATATAATGTGATAATATACAAAACAACAATAATGAAAATGATAACACTATGATAATGACAGTAATATGAATATGATGATGATGAGGACGATGACAATGCTGATGATGATAATGATGATATCCTCGGAGCTATGTAATTTGAGATCCGCATGGAGCTGTTAAGAAAGACATCCATAGATTCCATAATGCAGATAAGAGCACGTTAAACCAATTTAGATTGTTTGTTCATTTCAGGTCTCAAGGCAATTCCCAGCTTTATCTTCTGTAAATTCTGCTTACATATGAACGTAAATAAGAGTAATATTTGAAAGAAGCAGCTCTCTGATGCTATTCTCTCCCTGATCAAAAAAATTTATAAGCTAGAATGGTCTAGATATCACCCGCAACCTGATATTGTCGACTCATAAAGGTTATTCTTGTCAAAATTAAGTACTAAAGTATGGGGAAAAAACTTGGAATTGCAGCAAAAGCCAACTAAAGCAACAAGGTAAAAGAAAGAAGAAAAGATATAGTTGCAAATCGTTACTTTTGTTCACTAGACCATCAGTTAATTAAGAGTTGAATTGGCACTTGCCTCTGCACCTCCAAAAATGTAACTTTGATCCTCAACCAGGTCGTCTTTGTTTCCCTCGTGAGTAGCGTTATTCAGTTCACATGTATACTTTCCATCATCTGCACGTGGTTGTTTTCCAAGATTATAACTGACACAGTATGGCTCCATGTAACAAAGTATCCCACAAAAGTCTCTCTCACTGACGTCTTCAACTCGAATCACGTGGTTTTTTAAGCGTTGACCATCAAATGCTTTAGCGGGCTTGAATACCAAAGAGCGGCATTGTCCTGGGTCAAAGTGATTTAGAAAAATTAAGTGACGTGGGCATTCTCATTCCACCATCGTAAAACTTATTATGACAACGTTATGGTCTAGACAAAAAGGAGCCATCGATCTCATTCCGTTGAGTTGTAAAAAAAGCGCCGGTAAGTTTAACATTTTGATCTACTAGCTGTTTTTTTTTTTAATCAGGGTTGATTCAAGAGATTATAAACTGTTGACTCGATTTGTGCCGAGCTCTTTACCCGACACTTAATTACCATTTCGCCTTTACGAACTACATCACAGAAACATAAAACATTCTCTTTATTTCCATATTACCTTATGTGCATTCAACCCCTATTTTCATCAGTGACTTGCTAATGAATGACGCGAGGCAACGTTGAAACGCTGTCAAAATATTTAAATTTTTTTTTTTAAAAAACAGAACTTTATATATTCTAATAATGTTCAAGCGTTAAAAAACGAATCACCTTGAAACACTTTTTGTGACTGAAGCCATACAATATTTGTTGATGTCACGGAATTTTTTTCTTAACCAGGCCGGCAGATGTAAAAATTTAAAAAAAAGCAACAAAACGTCTCAGATTGTTTTTGAGCGTTTTGTTTAAGAAAATGAGCCTAACCCCCATTAAGTAGAATCGAATTCCAATCCAAGAAGTCAGTAATAGAAAGTCTCGTGTGAACAACAAGGAAAAGAACGATAAAAAATTTTAAGTTCGGTCAGCAAACTAAGAGATGGGTTATTCCCTTTGCTTGGAGGTCACAGTTTTATAATTCTGATTAAAAGTGGAAGGGTGAAGCTCTTATAGGTGTCAGCTTTCCAATAACAAGAAAATAGTGGGAGTCAATATTCTACAAAATATTTGTTCTACGTCGTTCTCGATTATGCTTCCTGTTTTTGGAAGGAAACGACTTCGACATTTTGAAAGATTCACGCTGAGTTATGGTTAGTGAATTCTTCTTCTGCTTCTTTTGTTTTTTTGTTTTTTGTTTTTTCTTGTTTTTGTCTTTTCTGACTTGGTTTCTTTTTTTTTTTTTTTTTTTGACGGACGGCAGTATGAGATCTAATCCCAAGTTTTCTTTTTAGCCTCGGAGTTCCAAGGGCACTTGATAGCTCGATCATGATTCGGAAAACGTTACCGGTATAACATTTTTGATGATTTTAGGGAGGAAACCACACTATGCTTAGCTCTAACTCTTACCCCAAATCAGCCGAGTTCACTTGTGTCTATACATGGGGAGATTTTACACTCATTTTGCAATCAATCACCCGAGATAGTTTGAAAAATTGCTGTCAACAAACTCTACTCTTACCGTCCTCGCCAGAACGTACCATATGTAGAACTGAGATTGTTGAATTCAGTTCAAGGTTTTAGTTAAAGTTGAAAGTTCGTGAGAAAGAGTGAATGCAATTGATGAATTCTTCTCCACATAACATTTTGACGATGAGCTGATTCGAAAGAACTTAATGTCTTTCTCCTTAGGTAAAAGAGAAGTGAAAGGAAGATAACTGATTTGGGTTGTTCCTTTAGGGCTGTCCTCAAAAAAGTTCAAGAAAAATAGCTAATTTTAGAACTTTGAATATACCTCAATAATTTCTTATTTAAGAATCTTTTTTGAGTAAATGTCCTAAATTTCGGATTGAAATGCACAAGCTTAGAATCTACGTCCAGTTCGCCGCGAGACCAAAACTGATAAAAAAACTTGCTACTTGCATCGCATCCTTCATTGCATCACCTTACAAATCATGACACGTAACAAGATGAAATAGTCGGGGTGGGTCAAATTAAAGTTACTAACCTTCTGAGGAGAGGACTCTATTCAGTGCGGAAAAAAAAAATAGTAAAATGCAACGGATGCAAAAAGAATACATGACACGACGCCACTTCACGCAGAACATTGAATCTTTCAATGCTGAAAGCCTCTTCACGGTAAATGCAACAAACTGGATCTTATGTTATTGTGAATTAACTGAGTTTATTTTGGCCCAAGATGGAGGAGCGGCCAGGTGTCTTTCTCCTGTGTCATAAATTCTTAATGATAAAAAAAGAAAAAAAATTGAAAACTTACATCTTGAAATTAAAATTGCTGGGTTGAACAAGATATTTAGGTTCATTTCCGCTACTCAAGTTTAGAATGTCAAAAAACATACGGAGTGGTTTAATTTGAATACATGTTTGCTGTATATTTCTTTTCATCTGAACGATTTTTGACAGACTTGGCTCTCGCCTAGTTATTGTTTACACAATGAATAGAAACGTTGATTACCCTCACTGTTATAGCTATTCCATTCATGCCGACTTGCTGCGAGGTAATGAAGTATTCAAAGAAGTTATTCATAACGTGCGAAGACTAATTTCTATGAAAATCAACATTTCTAACTGCTCCACGTTTGTCTGAAGTATGCTACTGATATAGGAAGAAGAGGATTCTGGCTTTTGTCATTTTCCAGTCTTATTTCTTTATGGAGATTAAGTTGTCACGTTAGAAGCAAGTCTCAAAAGCTGCCAAGTGACGTCAAGGGAAAGCCTATTACACTTTTATCCTTAAAACAGGTGATAATGAAGCTAATCATGATACCAATTATGATAACAATGAAAAATACGAGGAAAATATTACATAGACTTTTTTCCCTCTGAAATATGCTATTTGTGCCTTTTTTCTTCTTTGAAAATGATTTGACAAAACAAAATTTTAGCTTTACGGTAAATGGTGTGACCTTGGGTCATGACATGGACTGTTGTCGGTAGTGACTACTCCTACAGTCATTGCTAAAGTCAAAAGTCCTTCTCAGCAATACGCTCATCTGGACGATCAAACTACACCATCACATTATTAGCTTTAAAGAAAAGTAGAAACAAAGCCACTGATGATAAAAAGAAACAATAACAATGAAAATGAAGATTAAGAAAACAAAATTTTAACCTACCTTTTTCACTAAATTTTCCCTCCAGATCTTCACAGAAAAATTTAAAAGCATGTACGGAGTGCATCGACTGAACGCAAACTCCACCGCTTTGAAATGTCTTGAAATAATAAGACGACTAATAAAACAAGCAGAGAAAATTTTTGTGAGATAATTTAAGGCGAAACGGTACCTGACCATACAAACAATTCCTTACCCTAATGAAATAATGATGTGAACTTTTGTTTTGTTTGTACTCCATGGGCTTGCTGTACTTATCAGACGATAATAACTCACACCACAGTTTTCCTTTGGCTGCCAAGTTAACAGAAATGCATGAGGGGTGGTAGAGGCATTTGAAGATACACTCAAAGTCGTCGTAAACCATGATTAATTCAATGTGAGGAACATTCAGGTACTGAAACTCGTCTACCGAGAACAGTCTCCGTCGGGAATTCTGACATAAAGCTGCATCCATATCCTTGTGTTCTAAATCTTTTGCTGCTGTCGATATAGATAGATCATGCGTCATGGCATTTGTGATGAATGCTATTATTTAGGTTTAATGTTTCTGATATTTTTTATCAAGGAATATACATTGAAATTGAGATTTAAAGATACAATGAGATAATGATATCATTCAGATGGGATACATTTTTCCTTTCTATTAAAAAATATATATATATATCTATATATATACCCACAATGAACTATCTTCATCCCAACGTGCAATGTGTCTATGTAAACTTGAAGAAAACTCGCATCATTTACAACCAATTTCATATGGTTCAAATTAGCTGATGATAAAGCGTCGATAGGAGTTCACATATTCTATATCGTATCAAGAACAGCTGATCAAATTCAAAGACAATGCCCTTTGTTTAGTATCCCAACTATCCATTAAAAGATATCTTGAAACAATAGCTTTAGAGCCAAACAATGGCTTATTAATTCACGGGGGAAATTCAAACTCGCTTCCATAACAATAGCGAAATTCACGAGGGAAATTCAAACATAGCCGATTACTGCACGAGCGCGAGATTTGAATATTTAGCGAAAGCGCGTCTATGTCAAATCTTTCCCTGGGGAGGAGTAGGGAGTTACTTTCTGTTCAAGGTCACTTGCTACTCAGGGAGGGTCGGTCAAGACACAGAATGTCGCAACTGAGAGACTAACAAAGAGTGATGAAACCAAATGAAATTTGTGTGAATGGTCACGAATGAAACTTGTTTGAATTAAACTCGTTCCGTGAAACTGACAAAATCGCATCACCATCGCAAGCAAAAAAATCGCTCGTGTAACCGCGGCTTTAGAACAGGGTCTTGGTTTGCGTTTGTTGCGCACTGATAATGACAAAGTTTTTCATCCTCTGGAAAAAAGAACAAACAAAAGACAAAAACCGAGATGAATTTGAATCCTTTGAGAGATGAATGACCGAACGCCGCTGAAGGTCATGTACCGTAAAGATGGCATCTGATTTTCCAGACGGCAAGATTTGTGAGACGAGATAAGAAGTCTATTGTCTTTTCACTCTTCTGATCTCAAACGACATTTTCCACCGACGTTCTTTATTACATTACGGCTTATTCTCGAATACATGTCGGAACATATGGATGCTCATTACTCGCATTTATTCCCACCGATGTCGACAAACTGCTTTCAACAATGAAGAATTTTGAAAGGAAACCCAAAAAGAAACCGTCTAATGACAACGCAAATGCTTCCTCAGTATTTAAACCGCGGGCGAATTAGTTATTTAATGGCATATGCACTTAGCGCAAAAAAGCAGCAATATTCTTGATATCGATCAATTCTCATGATACACGCGGCCGCTTCATGAGAAACGATTAAAACAATAGATGGTTATTTTCTCACCTCCCTGATAAAAATGATTAAATTAAATTAAATGCCGCGCACACCACCAGAGTTTTCACTGAAAGACTAAAGTAGAACGAAAACCCGCAAATATCACTGATTTTTTCAGTCCAGCGATTTAACTCGGCGTTATTCTTAATTCCTAAGAAGTATTTTCCCAAATGCCATTTCTTTCTTCTATTTTGTTTTACGTTACGACTAAAACTATCACCTCTTTGTTAAAAGCCCCGCGCGCCGCCACTGTTCTCACTGCAAGACTAAATTAGAACATTAACCTTTAAATATCATTTTCCAATCCAACCACTTAAGTTGAGCGTTTTTTAATTCCTAAGTGGTATTTTCCAAAACACAGAATTTTCTTCTCTTTTCTTTACGTTACTTGAGTGAGAGCGTGATAGTATTAAGACTAGCGCTTCTTTGATAAGAGCCGCGCTATCAACCAATGCTTTCATTGTTTTAAGACTAAATTAGAATGACCACATTGATCCTTTTTTCCTTCTCTGTTTAGTTGGTAGTATATAGGTAAACACATTGCTTTACAAGGACACCACTGTAACAGAAAATGCATACTGAAAAGAAATTCAGCGATTAACTTGAGAAGAAAATCTCACACTTTGAATCTCTTTTTTACAATCTCGAAGTAAATCTGTAAACTACAATAAAAAGAATCGAAACTTTCGTATGCTTTTTTTTTTCTGAAACAATTATGTTCTGTTTCGCTGCAGCTGTTCTCCTATCTAAAGTTTCGTTGATTAAAATATCGCTTATTACAGAATCTTCATTTCGATTCAATTATCTGAACAATTGCAATGAAAATGGATAAAGGTTTCTTTAATCTCATAGGTTTCTCTTCACTTTAAAAGGTCAAACACGTCAGTCGTACATGTTAAATTTTCTTACTTTTTAATTAATTCAAGACTTTTGAAGTCAGTTTAATTTCATATTTGACCAACACCAATGTGTGTGGCATGAAGTCCGCGGAAATCGCTTCAATCTAAAATCAACTTTGACTTAAAAATATATGTATTTTCTTATTATCACTCTCTATGGAACCGTTACACTATCCGCTAACCTTCTATTCCACAAAATAAGACACCATTCTCTCCATCTATGCGTATGTTACCTTTAGAAACTAGTATACATACTGAAATTACTAACCGTTAGACTTGACAGCCCTGAGTATCATCAGGGAAAAAAAGCAGATCCAAAGGAAAGACATGTCATAAAGTCAGGGAGACAACTCTTTTCAGTCGCACAGTACGGTAGAAAATTGAACGTGTCTGTGTTTGTTACACCGTTTTACCGTATCCTCCCACCCTTTGAACCACTATTGCCGACAGTTTTGTGTTGTAATTTCCATGAAAAAATAATATTGTCTAAGATATTTAGCAAATATTTAATAAAATAAATTTTTCGGAAAAGATTGGAAGGACAGCTAATCCAGTGAACCACAATCTAACATACTTTCCCATTTCGACGGCTCCTTTTGATCAACTAGTTTATGATCAAAAACCAACGATCAAACTGACAGTTTCCATATTTCCCCTTCAAACTCTTTCGACGAACTAATAAATGTACGTCAAACCCTTCGCAGACAAGCAAAACAGAACAAAATACCCGTCTCTAATTCAACGGCTATACCTCACAACAAACGCACAGAATATTAAAAACAGTATACATATTAACTTAAACAACACCGTAGTTTGAAACCAAGGATGAAAAGTGTCAAACGGCCTGGGTGGATGTTGAACAGGCCGCATGAATGTTGCTCTTTCATTGCCTCAATTTTCTTTTTTTGGCATTCATTTTTATCCAATTTTTTCTTATTCACACATGGCCACCTGATTTTTTTGTTTATTTTTTGGGCGACGTGGCACATCCTATAATATGCTGAAGATAACGTGCGTTCCTTTTACCCTTTTTCAACTATTAGTCTTTTTAAATAATAGAGATCCCCTAAGAACAAAAGTGGCGTGCAAATACCCTTTGCTTCGAAGTTAACACATATCTGACAATGGTTTTCAGAAAGGACTGGATGGAAACCACCAAATTTTACAGCTACTTGCTCAAATTTCATAGAGGTATATATGTCGTACGTAAATATATATATATATATATATATTTTTTTTTTTTTTTAATTATCCTTTTACTATTGATATGGAAAACACATCGCAGCAACGATCTATTTAAGCCAGTTTTACCTAATCTTTAGAAATATATTACATGATGATTTATTTTTCTCCTCACGGTGTTTATATTGATGCTGCGTAATGTACATCGCAAAAAAAGGGTAACCTGTGCTTTGATGTCTTGAGGATTCATGCCCGACTTAAGTTAAAATTCATGGTTGTCTTTAACCTAACCAATATGTAGCCCATGGTTTTGATGTTTTTATCATTATTATCGGCTTTATGTCGAGCAACGTTTCCGCAAGTGTTTGTGTCATCGGGATACCCATCTGTATCAAATCCGATCCTGGAATCACAACTATTGCACTCGTCTTCATTGTTTACCAAGTATTCCAAGTCTTACTCTACTAAGCCAGCTTTTATGATTAAAACCCTCCTTGTTACATTTAAGCTGTAAAGAAGCCTCTGAATCAATAAGCCTCTTCCACCCGTTACGACCAAGTGAGGTGTTGCGATGCTGTCCGTCAGCAATCAGAGAGTAGAGAGATTTCGCTGGCTTTTAAATCACAATGAAGCTAACGTTTTTTCCTATCCTCATACCGAGACAGAGTGTCTTCCTGTAGGTCGGTAACTTGGTCTCTTGTGAGTCATACCCAGTCATGCACCCTGGAAGGTTGTAGCCATTTTTGTCTCTCCACAGTCGAGATGTGTAATAAATGTTTTCTGATTGAGTACGGAGTACGTAATGTATACCAACCACCATACCAAATAATTTTCTGGCAGGAATCATTGGCTTTTCTTTTTAATAGGTTTTCAGCAAAGTTATCAGGCGAGTAAAGTAATGCAAAAACGGAATGAAATAAATTTATTACTAACCCTACTACAATTCTTTCCATTTCCGTGGTATCCACTATTCCAAGAGTTTACAGATACAATCATGTGATCCCTTGGTATTGTTGCACACTGCAAACGGGCTACACTCGTGTCTTCCATCACCACATACATCAACATCTAACAATAATAAAATTAACATATGAAACTACGTCGACCAAAAAATTGGCTTGAAATAAGAAGTTGAGTTAGTGGTTTCTTCCAGGCTTGCAGAGGCATGCTCCTCATATGCAGACATCAGTATCTTAAAACTGAGTCTTTAAATTGAAAAGTTGACTGGCTACTGGCTTCAATGACATGAAAGCTAAAAGGAGTGGGATAAAGTAAGAAGGAAAAATAAAAACAAAATTATATGGTTATTTCTACCTCTGCACATCCATCAGTCTTCAGAGTATCCAGGTTTACATGCGCAGTCGTACGATCCATTGGTATTGATGCACACACCATGGGCACCGCAGTTGGATGTTCCCATAGCACACTCATCAACATCTGAAAAAACACACAACTGACTCAAGTGTCAAAGTTTCTACAAAAGGATCCATGTAACTTTGACACTGAGGTATTACCTTGACATATTATTCCATTTCCAGAATATCTGGGTTTGCAGGCACAGATGTGCGATTCTTTGGAATCATCGCACACAGCATTAAGACTGCAATTGTGCATTCCTGTAGCACATTCATCAACATCTGAGAAAACCAAACCACTGAATGATAAATCAAAGTTTACTAATCATAGGGACTAGAAATTATTCGTTCAATCTCCTAAATATCCACATTTACACGTACAGTACAGCGGTACGATATTTATACTGTTGCACATAGCTACAGTAATGTAATTGTGTGTTCCTGTACTGCATTCCTCAATATCTGAAAGAGCACAAACGAATTAAATATCAAATTTCCAATGGCAGGTGTTATGTAGGCTTGGTGCTCAGTGGTTACTTCTGTACATCCATCTATCTTCAGAATATTCAAGTTTCCATGCAAAGCTGTTATCGATAATTGTTCTTTTTTTGTTATTTTTGTTTTTATTCGAGCGTATTGGCGTCAATTTGTTACGAAGTAATGTATTTTTCAAAGTAGTAATTCGTGGTAGAGGAACTCAATTCTTTAAGACTTATGTTTAACTTTAATTGTTATCTTCGAAGAATAATTTGTCAAGTTATGCATCAATTTCAAAGGCCGCCAAGTCACTTCGAGGGATAGCCTAACACTTTAAGCATTAACATTGATTGTAATCAAACTATAATGATAAAAATATATCGTCTAAAAACATATTATTTCTGCCTTTTATTTAAAGTCGAAAATTACTTGGTAAAACAAATTTTTGTTTAGCTCCAAATTTAACTCCAAAAACCAGGCAAGTGAAAAATAATGCTAATAGTCCGTAAAAAAGCAATTAACAATAATAGTGACAATGACAATGAAAACAACAAATTTTCACCCACCTTTTTCATAGAATCTCCCACTCAATCGTTTTCACAAAGGCATTCAAAGGCATTTAGTGAGTGTACCGACTCAACGGAAACTCTCCCGTTTTGAAATGGTTTGAAATAACAGGATGACTAAAACAAGAAGAGGATGTTTACTCAAGAAATCTTTTTGAAACGAAATACTTGCTGATGATAGAATAAGTTCTTACCTTTGTGTAGAAGTGATGTGAAATCTTGTTTAGTTTGTATTCCATGGGTTTGCTGTACTTATCAGACGATAATAACTCACAACACAATTTTCCTTCGGCGGCCAAGTTGAAAGAAATGCATGACGGGTGGTGAAGGCGTTTGAAGGTACACTCAAAGTCGTCGTAAACCATGATTAATTCAATGTGAGAAACATTCAGATATAGAAATTCTTCCACTGAGAAGAGTCTATGTTGGGAATTATGAAATTAAGTTACAGCCATGTTTTTGGTTTCCACATAACTTCTTTCTTTCGAAACATTCGTATCAACTGTGCTTGCTGAAACAAAAGTGCCTTGTTTCACTACAGTGGTCTTCTTTGCTGAAGCTTTTTTTGTCTAAAAATCGTTTATCATAGAATCATCATTTTGGTATACAATCATACGCAGAACGGATGAAGGTTTGTTTTTCCTTATTTATTTCTCCTCATCTTAAACACTCAAACACGTCAGTCGCACCTTTTAATATTTCTTAAAATCAAATTATGTTAATGCTTTCAATGTCAGTTTTAACCATTGACAAACGTTAATCTTTGTCGCTTAAAATTCACGAATATCATTTCAATCTTGCCATAAAAATCCCTTTTTCATTGTTACTATTATCTATCGGGGGCGTTTTGATAATAGTAGTAGTAGTAGTAGTAGTAGTAGTAGTAGTAGTAGTAGTAGTAGGAGCAGTGATAGCAGTGATCTTTATTAAGGATACAGTTGAACCTCGATTATCCGGACTAGTCGGGACCTCGGTAAATAATCCGGATAATCGAGAGTCCGGATAATCGAAAATATGAAACTTAATGAGATAGAAATGTAAACAAAAGGTATACGGCAAAGAAAACGTCATTTTAATTGTGAAATCTACACAGCCTAATAAAAATAAAATAAATAAAAGAAAAGACTTGTAGCTTGATCGCATTGCTAAGTCCATCATTCGTCTTAGCTGCATTAACTGCACAGGGTCAATATCGTTCTGTGATTCCATCCACGACAAGCATTTTTTGAAACAGTTCGCTGCCTCTTTAGTCGATTCTAGTTTCTCGTCCTCGCCCTCATCTTCCTCATCGCTTCATACACTTTCGCTTTCCATCGAACCTCCGACATCTCTTCATCAGACATTTGCGATGAAGTCGAGAGCTCGTTTTCCAGATTAAGCCAGTCTTCCACATCGCAAGCATTAGGCATTTCCTCATTGTCAAGGTGCCGTACATGTTCCAACATTTCGACCATGGACTCAGCGATATTATTAAGTCTTTTGAAAGGATTATTAAGCTTTTTGCGACTTTGAGTTTTCAAGATCACAACTAATTAATATTCATGATGAAATTGGGACCAGAGAAAAAAGTCCGGATAATCGAGGCCTGGATAATTGAGGTTCGACTGTACTATCTTCACAAGAAATTGTTTGCAGAGGGGTCTTATATTAAAGAGACTGATTTCAGACGAGAAACTCGCAAAGAACAAAAAATCCAAGCCAAGAACAAAAATAAAAGCATCAGAAAAAAGTCATTAATAACTATTTAAATTAAGATAGCTCACGCTAAAATGAATTAAGGGACTTAAAGACGTTTGTCAACTATAGCAAATATTAGAGCTAAAGTCAGCTAAAAGACCAATAAAGCCATTTTGCTATGGTACTAGATTTAAGAATTTCGTTTCTCAACCTCGTATTGTAATCATGAAGAATCACAATCAAAAGACGTGACGTGATCCAAGTGCTAAGACGCCATTCTCTCGAATTATGTGTAAATTGATCATAAAACTTGGAAATACTGGACTTGCTTACCTTTAGACCAAACAGCCCTGGATATCATCACGACAATATAACAGATGGAAAGGATATGCATTAGGAGGAAGAACCCTTTGCTTTTGAACAGCATACTGGAAAACCGAACGTGCGTGGAGTTGCTACATGGTGTTACCATTCCTTCTTAACAAAAATCTGATGCCAGTACTGTGTAATAATTTTCTTCGAAACAAGAACCTAGTAGAGGATATTGAACAAATATTTGAAAATATCAACATTTCGGAAATGATCCACCGGAAAGACCGCCAATCCAGTGGACAACTGATATCAACACTTACTTCGTTGGCAATTTCGAAGGCGCTTCTAGATCGACACCTCTAAAGATTTAAAAACAACGAAAAAGCTGAGACTTACCTGATTCGCTTCAAGTTCTTACGATGAACAAATGACAGATGTCAGATTCTCTGCACGTAGATTGGCAATGACGGAAATGTCATCCCTTTCCCATTCAAATGAAACGCAAAACAACAAAAGAACGAAATATTAAAAAAATAGGATAAACATTTACACAAAACAAAAATATAGGTTGAAAAAAAAACTAGTTACATATATAAATATGACTTACAGTTATGATCGATTTGTCGAAAACATTGATTAAAAGTGCCTCATTGAACAACCTGGTAGATGTAACGTATGCACCAAATATGTTCTAAAGTGTAGGCTATGTGATTCTTCTATTACTTTAATTTTTCGTTCACGAAATATTGCTTTTCTAGATCCTAATTATTACCATCATTTCTTAATTGTGAAATTGATTGATTGATAAAGCTGAAAACTAACACCAGTAATAATGGTAACTTGGCCAGAACAGCCATAGTCAACATGATTTAACAAACGTTTAGGAGGGAATACGAGGTAAAGATAAAATAAATGACGTAAGTTAAGCAGGAGGATTAAGAGGACATGATCGAAGAGACTGCTATTAGAGCGCACTGTTACATGCCATATCTTGCTGCTCTGCAGTCCTCCCTTCCCTTTCATCAATAGGAGCCGAGCTGGTTAAATTTTCACCCAATAATCCGTCGGTCTTATCCAGGTTAGAAAACAAGAAGATATCAGTAAAAACGAACAAAAAGGGTTTGACGGGATTGTTGTCAGATTCAACAGGGATCACATGACAGGCCGTATTGACGTTTGTTTATAGCAGCCCCTATGCACTAAATAAACAGAAACCGTATTGAGGTGATCAGTTTCATTTGAAACAAGTAAAAATAAGTAACTTAATTTTTTTAGGATGTCTCTTGTCAACTGGTGAATCATAGAAATAGATCACTATCGCGGGAGATATCATCACTGATGAACCGTCTAAAAGTTATAACTTTCGCATAGAATAACGAAAAATCTATTTGAATACACGTGTCAGTCTTAGTCTCGAAATTTGTATAAAAATTTTATTTCAAGATCACACTTTCATTGTTTCCTAACAACGTCAGGTCTGACAGGCCTAACTCGTGCCAATAAATTTGATTTTCTATAAACATAAAATTTTATGGTGACACATCGTCTTATATTTATATATTTATTTTTTACATCCTATATTTACACATTCATTTATATTCACACCTGCTTAGGAAAATCAATCATTTTAGAATAATAACCAGTAATAAATGCTGCCAGATTCTCTTTTTCTTTATGAATTTGAGAAGTAGTGGATGATCACGAGAGTATAACTTGTCGATCCCCCACAAAGTAACTTTTATCCAGAATACCTAAATTAAAAATGGTAGAACATTTTTCAACTAACAGAAGTCCAGTCTCCAGTACAATCAGACGTAATTCGTGTCAAGATAAGACCCTGTTATCAGATATCTACAAACTTCTAATAATCTCACTTTACTTTTATCATGCATATTTATGTATTTACATATTGGTTGTTAACAACACCTGTCGCGCAAATATATTTTTTGACACACACCCACACACACGCACGCATACACAAAAAAAAACTTAGGCATGCGTAGCCTGCTTGAGTTGTTTTTGGCTGTGTGGGTTGAGATGATACACTTTGTGTACCTAAAGTTTTCATTTTTGTAACAAAAAAAGAGCATAACTTTCCAACGAACGAAAACATCGCAATACTTCACCTTAGAGAAAGAAAACAAAACCTTATTTATCTGAACTCAGACAGGTATTTTGTGGTCTTTTGTCTAAATGCTTCTAAGCAAAAATAAAATGCATCGGTGCCACTCTTGCTGTTTTCTCCCTCGCAGCCGTTGTTTGGTCTGGTCACACAACGCCCCCTCTTCCCCGCTGGCGAAAGGGCACGTTGTGTGACAAGACCAAATGACGGTTGCGAAAGAGACTACGCTTACCGCCGTCCCTCTAACCGACAGAAAATCAAAATTAGTTGCCTACAGTTAGTTGCCTCAAAGTATGATTCCACGTAAGTTTACTACGAAAAGCAAATTGATACTCTATTGTATCTCCAATAGACCCTAACCAAATACTAATTGCGATCTCGAATGATTAAAGATACATTGAACGAGAGAAAAGGATAAAATTTCAAAGAGGGCTCCTTGATTGGTTGTTGCCTATCTGGACTTTGCCCTCTGTGGGTGAAATACACAACAAAGTGTAGGTTTTTTGCAAGGAATTGATATGCGATTAGGTTAAGTCCAAGGTAGCTAAAAGTAAATTTTATTCGTAGAAAAAGTCGAAATGCGGGAGAATCGCGTGGCAAATTCATGTGATAATATGCAGGTTGTTTACGAGGAAATGTCATGTTGCAAAATGGAAAGTGATTGATGGATTGGTGGATTCAAGTTCGTGAAAAATTGCATGTTCATCTAGTACAATGATTGGGTATGTTCTGATTGGACTTTGGGCATTGTCTTAAGGTACGTGATGGGTAAGGTGCGTTGTGGGTAATGGAACGGCAAAAAACGTTTTAATTTAAAAATGCTAAAAAAGCTTACATGCAATCCTTTCGTATTCTGATATATCTCGATCTTAATCGACGAGGCGCTCGCGAAGGCCAAAAACCGTTACACTTATCAAATGAGCCCAAAAGTTTTGGTTATCGTTATTCTTTTTGCAGAGCCCCCTGATCCATGACGGAATTTGCAAGAAAACAATATCGAAACGCTGTGATTGGTGCAATATATCCATATGCTGGGATGTGATTGGTGCGAGATACATACCCTTATGCGGCAATCTGAATGGTGCGAAATACATACCCTAATGCGGTGATCTGATTGGTGCGAGCAGCATACAACTCTACACGCTATATTTATAAATGTACAAAAAATGAATTCAAAAAGGAAAGAGGGAAAGCAGGAAACAAAATATGAAAAATTCTGGTTGCTCCCTCGCTATCACTTTGCATAGCGACTATATCAAACTCAGAGGGTGATGAGGTTGTTCTTTACCTAACAAGGATATATCCCATGACTTTTATGTTCTTATCTCCGTTGTCTCCTTCATGTTTTGCTTTGTTTCCACAAATATTCTCTCGACTCATTCCGAAACCAATTTTGGAATAACAGGACCCGCAGTGTTTTTCATTGTTACTTAGGATGCCGATTCTTGCGCGATGCTTGCCACATGCGGTGTTGAAACCCTCCATGTTACAGGTCAACTGCAAGGAGCCCTCTGAACCAATCAGAGACTTCCACAGGTCACGACCTAGAGTGGTTTGACGATGCTGCCCGTCAGCAATTAGCGAGAATAGAGAATTCGCCTGTTTCTCTATGACAATAAAATTTGTCACATTTCCGATCCTCATCCCAAGACAGATCTTGGAGAAGGGTGTGTCCCAGTAGGTCGGTAATTTGGTTTCTTGTGAATCAAATCCAGTCTCTCCTCCCGGAAGATTAAAGCTGTCCGTGTTATTCCAAAGTTCAGAATGGTAATTAAAATTTTGCTAGTAAGGAATAAAATACAAATATTTACTGATACGACGCTGTTAAATATACGTTATTATCTATGAAAGCTCGAAGACCTTCAAAGACATTCCCCTTACTAAAAGAATGGTCAATTGAATCACATGCACTTCAAAGAAAACCGCAGCTATTTACAACTAAGCAATGACATTTTAAATCATATGAAAAGATATATTGTCTTTTTCTGTAGAACAGAAAATAATTCGAAGAGAATGGGTGAAATCCTGGGACTATCAATCATCCTATGATTTTTATTGTTTGTGATATTGTGTGCCGCGTTTTGGACCACGTCACAAACTTCATAAATCGTTAAGAAATGGTTGTGGTGTTCCAATTCCAATCACATGTAGGGAGCACACATAGAGAGTAGATACGGGAATTTGCGGCAAATGAGTATAACAGATAAAAAAAAATTGTTTACACGGATGACATGGTCATACTATTCGCGACAAAAGAAGATTATGTAAAAGGGTTTACAATCACCAAAGACGTATTGCTCTACGGTCTTAATATATACCGCGAAAGAAAATTGAAAGTACAATTGCTCTCAGAAACACACCCACTCACACATCTCCCGTCCTATCACTGCTACAACTCGGCGGGAAAACTATCAGCAAAGCAATCGAATCCAAATACCTCAGGCGTTATGATTTCTTATACAAATCCTCTCACTTTAAGCGCGCACCGCATATCATCGGCCTCCTCAAAATCAACCAAATTTCGAGTAGTCCTCCAAAATCATAAGGTTAGCCTCAAATCACTCATAAAATACATGTAAGCTTTCATACGCACATGACTGACTTACAATGCGGCATCGTGGAGGCTAAGTGTTCCAACGCTCCAAAATCTTAAACGGGTTTGGAGAGAGATGTTGAGAATTCATTAACATGCATAAATTGAAGCAGAAGCCATTACCTTTGAACCGTTGATCTTCATAATCGGCGTCCATCCACCATTCCCACATCCAAAATCCCCCATGTGACAGAAAACTGAAGTTGGCTTTGAGTCGATATATAGTATAACCAGCCCACTCCTTGGAAAGCTGTAAATATATCAAAAACAAGAAAAAACAAAACAAAACGCTAAACAAAAGAAGTTCTAAGTAGTGGGAAGTAAATCACGTAATCAAGAACTGAATGGAAGGATCATACTTTTGATGTCATAAATAGATGGATGCCGTCAATGTACTTTCGATCAAAGAATTTACCTATTACATCGATAAACACTTATTTGTCTATTTGTGTTTAACTAGGTGAAGGAAAGAGTAATAGGTTCAGTTCATCTAAGATGATCTGGCACTAAAGCTTTATTTTTCCATCGGCGATACCACCTCCAGTGTTGTAAGCATATGGTAATGCCCTAAAAATTTTCTATCTATTAAAGCTAGATCCAGTTTAACCCAGGGAGGGAATAGAGCGTAATGAGTGCCCTAGTAAACTATGGTAATAAGACCTTCAGGCTGAGACTCCAGAAAATCATCTACACTACTTAACTGTTTTTTTCTGACTTAATCTTTACATCTTTATTATGATTACAACCTAATCTATTTGTGAAAACCGTTTATTTTTGTCGCCTTTTTGTTACTTACGTGGACGTTTCGTACATTTCCTGGCAGGTTGAGACTGTAGATGCAAAGAAAAAAAAACGACGTGACGCACTTAGATATTTGCACTGCGAGGAGGAGGAAGAACGTTACACAATGTCCCGGAAAAATAAAATGGCATAATATGAATCATCGCGCGTAAATAACAGTTTTTCCCATAGTAGTAGGAAGCACATTCAGAGTAGTATTGCCCGTGGGTGCTGGTCATATAGATATGATCAGAAGAACCTATGCCGGTGCTATGGCACCGCCATGACAGAAAGAGGAGACTAAGAGAGAGGAGTCAAGGAGTGAAAGGTATAACAGTGAGGAGACAAGATGTGAGGAGACATGGAGTAAGGAGACATGGAGTGAGGAGACAAGGAGTGAGGAGGCAAGGAGTGAGGAGGCAAGTAATGAGGAGACAAGGAGTGAG